TATATGCGCCATAGAGTTAAAGGGGCACTAAATCCCATTATTACGTCAATGTTGATTGTTGATATGGCAGTCCAGAAACCTCGTAGTGTTACTTTCGTGCCAAGAAAGGGCCCATTTTGAAATAAAATGACTTTTAGTGCTCCGCATCGGGTTTGCGCACTTCAAATTGCCCGCCTCAAGAAGCGGCCTGACCGGACCGTCTCACGTCACTGTTGCAGTGGACAACGTTGCCCAGCTTTACTGCGCTAATAGCAGCAGATCAAAAGCAGCGGGAGCCACAGCAGCAACAACGGCTATTTATCAATTTTCCGCGATTGGCTTCGAGATTGCAGACGCTCTTGTTTCAACTGCGCCCCGCTAGATAACACTACCTGTTCCATGTAACCACGCGAAAATTGAATTTTTGACCCACTCGCGCTATTCCCCCAAGTAACATCCGGCGGTTCTTTTTTTCATGAATCAAATAGAAACCAACAAGTAGCATTTTATTGCATCTTTTGATGCACGGAAGGTTCTTTATTTAGTGCAGTTAGATCGATTACTAGTGATTAATTATGAGCGGTCTGTTTGAAGTCATGGGGATCATTTTGAAACTGTACTACAGCTGCGGCGCTTGTGTTCTTGTGCATTTACCTTGATTTCTCGTTAAGTAGGGCACTGTTGTTCATAATATTGTCGTTTTAGATGTTGGCATACATTGATCTTTCACTCTGACGTAAATTGTTATTTGACTTTAGGGTCCCTTCAACATGCAGCGGGCGCGCGCTATAGCCATAGACTGCGCGAAGAATGCGGAAAACGAAGCTGGAATAAGAACATAAAAGTAATTTTTATTGAATCATGCTAATTTCTGTCCAATATATCGACTGTATTGTCCGATCTGAATGAGTGAAAAACAATTATTGCAGTCCTTTCGTTTTACGTGTATTGTTTTTCTTTTGGGTATAGATATTGAATACGGAAAAAAGTTTCACTAAATTAAGTAATCAATTCTTGGCCGATCCCCCTCAGCCGATCCTCCTGAGGGGATATGATCCATGTTTGTGGATTGATCATCATCAACAGCCGGCCCGCAGCAACGGTGCCGTCTCTTGTTTCTTTCTTAACAATGGCACAGTCTGCGACCAGCGAACCATAAGGATGCTGTCTCTTGCGTCTTTCTTTAGAATGGCGCAGTCTACGACCAACGAACCGTGTGTTGCCGAGGCCTTTCGGCGCTGTGGACCTTCTGTAAAAGGAACGCCCACAATCATGCAGCCCGTGTCCCACCTGCATGCTGCCAAATACATCTGTGCCACCGCTCTAGGACAGCGTCCAGGTCTCCTCGGTGGACCAAGGGCACGCACATCGCGGCGTCGCCACGGCAGAGCACGGCTGGTGTCGGTTCATCCTGTTGCCCGGGAACGCTTTTCCAAGATTCCCGCGGTGGCAGCTAGCCTCTCAATCAGGACTTCATCGGCCCCTGAGCTGCTGAGGGGTGCTTAAGAATCCTGCTGCAGTGAGCACGGTGACTATTTTGCACTCATTGGACGTGACAACTGGCTCCACGTGCTGATCGGATCACCAGAGAGAGCCGCCGAGATTTTCCGTGCTTGCGCGACTCTCGTCACGGTGAACGCCTTGAAAGTGTTCAGTTCGGCACTCTTTCCTCACATTGTGCCCAAATTGTGTGCCATCGATACCATATATGTTGGATGTAGCCGCCTCACACGACTTTGAGGCCGGTTCACTCTAGAACCGTAGCAGACGCTGGCATTCCCTTGTGCATCTGGGCTGCTTGGCGTCGACATGCTCCAGAGTTTCGGCGGCTGTATCACCATCGCTGGCTGCCTGCGAACTGCCGCCATTCCACAGCTTCCAGGACAATGCTGACGATTGGGTGGCTACTGTCAATGTTCTCATAGCTCGCAAGGCATGGACAGAACATCACGTGGTGCATAGCCATAGGCCGCCTTCTATATCCTGCCGTGGCGAACACTAATTGCTATCAACCAACCATGCAGATGATGCACGAAAGTCGCGCGTTGCTATTGATTGCGGCTAATCGCCACTTCGAAGGAGGGCGTAAGGACAACGTGAGGCCATTGTTCCGTGTGAATACCCACGATCGATTACGCCGGTTCTCAGTCATCGCCAAGTCATCGCAGATTACGCCGGTTCTTCATCGGTTAGATGAAGCTCATCTATGGCCAGGGTAGCACTGCTCACATCTATGTAATGGAAGTCAGGTTATCAGGTCATAATATATTCCGGTCGACTTGAACCGCGCGTTCTAACCTCGGCAGTGTGCCGGGAGCACGTGCATTCAATTCTATGGGAGAAAATACCGCAACAGTAGTTAGTGCAATCTTACGCATCAACCTTTCATCTTCACTGCATCCACAAAAGACAGGGTTAGTTGACAGGGCATGCACATTATATTCTATCGCTTTCTTTATGAAGCACTATAGTGGCTGTAGAGCCACTGTAGATTTCTTCCAGTATGTTTCTGTAGGGTTCGTCGATCCCCTGATTCTGTAGTGCCTGCATTACTGCTGATGTCCCGGCTGAGTCAAACACTTTCTCGTAATCTATGGAGGCTATATATAGGGGCTGGTTGTATTCCGTGCATTTACCTATTACCTGATTGATATTAAGAATGTGGTCCATTGTGGAGTAGCCTGTACGAAATCCTGCTTGGTCCTTTGGTTGATTGAGCTCTAATGTCACCTTAATTCTATTAGTTATTATTTTTGTAAATAGTTTTTAGAGAACGGACAGTAAGCTGATCGGCAAATAATTTTTCAAATCCTTGACGTCTCCTTTCTTATAGATTAAGATGATGTTGGCATTTTTCTAATATTCTGGCACCCTTACCGTCAAGAGACACTTCGTATATAAGGTGGCCAGTTTTTCTAACACAATTTCTCCGCCATCTTTCAGCAGGTCTGTTGTTACCTTATCCTCGCCAGCTTCCAATATTCTGGTGCCCTTCCCGTCAAGACACACTTCGTATATAAGGTGGCCAGTTTTTTAGGGGCGAAGCTCCTTAAGACCTCACCATGTCCGCCTTCTCCCGTCTGTCCGTAACACCATGTAACCTTCAACTTATAAGCAACAGAGGGCGCTGTGGTTAATTGTAGATGTGATGGCGCTGCTGTCAATGCTATATATATATAACCACGTTCCATACCACACATTCTCTTCCCTCATATGGACGAAGACGAACGCAGGAAAGCGCGACGTGCTGAGTATCAGCGTCGCCGTCGACGGGAAGCTACCGCGGAGACAAAACAGAAGGAAGCGGATGCAAAGCGGCGACGGCGACAACAAAGTTCTACACCACAGACTAGGGCTAAGGAAGCAAAGGCTAAGCGGGAAAAACACCAAGCTGACACGCAGTTGAGACAACTTGAAGCGGATGCAAGGCGGCAATACTGACAAGAAAATTCTACACTAGATACGATAGCTAACAAAGCTGTGATTATGAAGTCAAAATGTAACCCGGAACTCAGAACCTCATATCAGCTATAAAGAAGAATTACCGCTATATCACAATCGGTCGCAACACTATCTCTTTGAATAAAAAAAATATATAAGTATCACAACCACAATCAGCCTCGGTACTATCTCAGCTTTAATCACAATAATCACCTCCGAAAGCTTCCCCCATAATTATCTTCAAGCAGCTTGAATTGCAGTGATCTTCTAACACAATTTCTCCCCCATCAGTCAGCAGGTCTGTTGTTACCTTATCCTCGCCAGCGGCTTTGGATCTTAGCATTCATCTTAGGACTTTCCTTGCTTCCCCTGTCGTTACAGCTAGGATGTCGAATTCCTCTAGGTTATTATTGTTTCTTACATTATCATCCTGGCTGTTTCGGCTTCTGTACAGCTCTCTGTAGAACTCCTCTGCCCCCTCAACTATCCTGTCCATATTGGTTATGACATTGCCATCTTTGTCCCTTAATGCATACATCTGATTTTTGCCTATGCACAAGTTTGCCTTTGCAGCTTTTAGGCTTCTGCCGCTTTTTATTCTCTCCATATTATACATTCTTATGTCAGCTACCTTACGCCTATAGACCAACTTGAAAGCTCCACTAGCTCTCTTTTGTCGGTTGCATTCGAGGCTTTTATGGTTTGTCATCTCTTAATAAGATTTTTCGTCTCCTGAGACTCCCTTAACGTCATTCCCTTAACTTCCGCTATCACGCTAAAGGTAAACCATAATTGTCCAATATCTGCTCACAATGGGTGCTGTCAACCATTACTTTAGGTTCCAAATCCAACTTGTGGCACAAATTAGACAAAAAAGACCCTTTTGGAGCAGTATAGCACCGCAATCGCCAATGGGCACAGATTGGCACAATTTTCCCATCACTGTGCTAATTAACATAACCTACTGAAAGTTGGACAAAATGACACATTACTTGGTTTTATTTCTTGGAATGTAATACTGAGTTCTTTGGAATCGTGCCATACCCATTTGATGCATTTGCATGCCTGAAAGAGCAGTTCTGCACTTGATTGATTAATATGTGGGGTTTAACGTCCCAAAACCACCATATGATTATGAGAGACGCCATAGTGGAGGGCTCCGGAAATTTCGACCACCTGGGGTTCTTTAACGTGCACCCAAAGCTGAGCACACAGGCCTACAACATTTCGCCTCCATCGGGAAATGCAGCCGCCGCAGCCGGAATTCGAACGCGCGACCTGCGGGTTAGCAGCCGAGTACCTTAGCCACTAGACCACCGCGGCGGGGCGCAGTTCTGCACTTTTAATCGTTATGGTTTTGTGAACATCAATGCAAAATGACAAACCAGTAGATACTACTACTACATGCGCCTGTTTCATGGAAGTTTTAGACTCTGCCTTAGTGCTAGCTTCATCAGCTTCAAGTAGAGACTGCTTGTCAGACACTTTGTGAACAGATACAGCTGAAAAACTGCATCAGAAAAAAAGCCAAGCCCAGCAGTTGCAAGGGGTGCACTGCAGGCAATAAGACACTCTAGAGCCAATGTCAATCATAAACCTACTTTTAATGTCCACTATGAACAGGAAACACTAGTGCCACTTGCATTAGCCAAACACTGCTTGTTTTACGAGTCCGATCAACACTTCCTTCTTGTTCTTCCAAACTTGTATGCAGGCAAACATGTCCACACACACTCTCAAATGTACAAGACAGCATAAAAGACAGTGAAGACGATAAAGAAAAAAGTTTAGAGTTAAACCTTGAAGTCCGGATCCTATCTAAAATAAATACTACCCTTAAGAGTGCTGCAACTATTGATCTACCTGTGGCGTGAACAGCAACTTGGGGGCAAAGGTGACCGACGAGAAGAATCCAAAGGCTCCAGGAGAGGGATTTCTTCCATCGTCATCTGTTCTCGACAGGAGTGCTAATTCCTGGGGGCTCGTGGTTCCTGGGAGCAATGCTTTGCGACTTCAACTGCTTTTTCCTGAATGCCTGCTGCGCGTTGCTGTGGTGGCCGTTGCCACTGCCTCCACCCCTCCTGCCTCGACGATGACCTTGACCACCGCGGTGGTGCCTACTCTGAGACTCTGGCGCGCCACCATACCTGCAGCCATCCGCAGGTGAACCAGGAGGTATGTCTACATAACCATCACCTCCGTAGTCCCGATCAAAATGCGAGTTCCACGAAGGGCTCAAGTCTGTCGTGGCATGCATGGTCGTTGTGATGGCTTCTCTGATCGTGTTGTTCTCCTCCCCGACGCTCGACTCGCGGCTTCCGTCGTAGTCCTGTCGGTAAGCTTCGGGCGAGCGCACATAGTCTTCCCTCCTTACGCTCTGGTGGAGGTCTGCTCCAGTTCTGCTGTTGCCGCTGTCCACTTCCCCTACCACGACCGCGGTGAGGTCGTGACCTTCGCGACCTTTGCTGTCCAGTCTCTGACCTGTGAAGTCTTTCTGCGCCTGATGACGACGAAGTCTCGCCGGAATGTTCGACAAAGCCATTTGCAATGGGTTCGTCGTAGCCGTCGTTGAGCACGTGCTGCCTGTTTGTGGGCCTCGATGGTCTGTTTCTCGGAGGCTTTGAAAAGCGTGGTTCATGTTGGTGTTGCGTTTGTTGCCTGTCTGTTGACTTGTGCAAAGGGGCATCATTGCCTTTGTCGGACATTCCACTTTCCATGTGATGTGTGGGTGGTCTCCAGTTCCTTAACTTGAAGGCTCCGAAACTCGGTTTTGGTGCTTCTGGCGCAGTGCTGTTTTCAGGAGCCTGGAGAAAAGTAAAAAAAAAAAAACATTACAGCATATGGCAAAAAAAAAAAAGAATTACCCTGCTGCTTAGCAAACATGAAAGGCCTTCCAGTCTAATACATTCATTCCACAGGAAGGCTATGACATGTCACGAATAATTGTGCTTTAGTCGTGGATTTAAGGAGCTGGCAGGTGGGTAACCGATTTCCGCAATCTCAAAAGAGTGTCCGATACGAGTGCAGATTTGTAGAAAAGCATGAGGCAGATGTACTATATTTAGGTACACTGATGTGTAACGCAAGTTTTTTTTCTTCAGATGTTTGCTAATGGAAGTCAACCATCGTGTTACAATAAAATACTGAAATTCAAGTCGTCTAAAAAGTGCAAGAATGCACACAATTCTTTTTTGTAGTATTTTTCCCTTTTTAAATGGAATGAAAACCGATTCCTCGCACTATAGTCATCATATTACAATCAAGTAGTAAATATGGTGTTACGCATTCCGAATTATTGATCTGATGTCAGACATAAAGCTGCCCAACGTAATGGTGTTCCAATATGGTATCTACTAGGAGATGCAAACAACCTGCTACAATGTCACCGAGGTGCAATCGGAACGCTGTTGGCATGCGAGTACATGCAACTTCTTGACATTGCGGCTTGCATATCATCAGTGCAAGTCATCTCTACCACATAACCAGCCCGGTAGTTTTACTGGGATCACTTCACTCTCACTACGCATATCATTGAAGTCAAGCCACCAGTAGCAAGCTTCGTTAATGCGAATTCCAGCTTTGTTTTTTTTTGTCATGGCTATAGAGTGGAATGACCTCACTTTAGCCACTGCCCACATAATGTGCCTGTCATCATTTGTAATAGTCTATGAATATTTGTTTGGATTTGAATATTTATCATGTGTATTCACAAAAAAAACCCAGACATACGAAACCTAAAAGGGATCACAGAAAATTTCCATGTATGGGTAATGCGATATGTAAACGATTTTTTGATTGAAGACCTTTCAAGAGAAATTTACACGTGTTCAATATGCACAATAATTCGTAATTCCATAACGGTGGTATTTGAGTAAAATAACTGACTGACTGATACGTGTACTATTCAATGGATTCATTAGACCCTTTACGATAAAGTGCAAGCGCACTTCTCTTCGCTGCACATTTGTCCAGCTAATGGGACACCTGTTGTGCTTCAAGTGGAGAGGAGGTCCTCGTTGCACACACTGGGGCTTCTTACGCATGGTTATATCAAGAGATATGAGTAAGCATCTCAATGTCATAGTGCAAGCAAATCGCACTTAAACACGCTGTGCACAGAAACGACTAGTTCCTATTAGTCGGGCAAACTGCGTCGCAGAGAAGTTAGCTTTACAATTATGAATAGGGCTCTTTATTTAGCAAAACGTTCCCGCCGGCCGCTAAGAAGTAAGGTGATCCAACAAAACAAAGAAAGGTGCGCACAGCAGATATCTCGAGCAGGAACTTGTTCTTCTCGGCGTCCACGTTGATGATGCCTCCTTGGCGCTGCTGGTGGACGTAGAGCTGCGCCATGCTCTGCTGCAGCTGCTCCAACTCTGGCGTCATGCAGAAGGCTGGCTGATGCTGCTGTTCCATGGGCGGAGGGTGTTCTTCCTCGGTCAGCCCCAGCAGGGGAGGCAGAGGAAGTCGGCACACGGGGCACACCACCTGCGCGCACAAGTGAGCACCCTCGGGCACGCCATGCTTCCACAAGTTGCACCAGAACGCTGTCAAGATGGATGCCCGCCACTGTCTACCACTTCCAGCGAGCACATGACACATCACTTGTTGACCGTTTCCCCCATATGAAAACTCGGCCATACACGCCCACTGAGCCATGTCTATGATATTTACACTGACATGCAGCTAGAAGCAAGATTAACGGAGTGCTGACACAAAAGTTTAAAGGCGAGATAACTTGTAGGATAGAATTTTGTGGATACACACTCATCTACGAAGTATCAAAGGATAATACAGCTTGGAACACATTTAAAATAAATTTCGAACTGCGTGTTGCGGCCGCACACGCAAAACACGCCACTGGTTTCCGAGTAAACAACTAACTGCCCATCTGCACCACGAGTTTGGCTGCCGTGGGCACTCTCTCCTAGCAGTCCTTTCCAATAGAAAGAAGGGGCAGGCTTCTATGGAACAAAGGCTGGTCTCCTTGCCTCACCAGTGCATTTTCTGGGGGGAGGGGGGGGTCACGCATATTTACGTCTCAGAAGGAGCCTCTGTTGAAAAGAGCTGCCGATGCAGTGCTCACGTGCCCGCGTTTTTTTTTTTTTTTTTGTTTTGTTTTTGCTCACTCAGGTGGCCAGCTATGGCCACACGGAAGCCACTCTGGGTCTCGTCTCACTCGGTGCTCTGCGGAAAACCCTTTCCAGTTGTATCAACGGTCGCGCTCTAACGCAAACGAACTTTTCTGGGCATGATAAGTGCGTTTGAAATAGCTACCCATTGCAATAGTAAAAACCAAATGCAAAACTTTTACGCTAGTGCTCCTTTAAAAATAGTGGTATGCCTCGGCTATTCAAACAATTCGTGACGTGCGATTACCACTTAAGGTGTAAACATAATTTAAACAAAGCCGATGGTATATAGTCTGCAATAACCTCGAGTCATTCCTATTCAGTTTTTCAAGTGCTATTACAGCATGGTGTAGTATCAGCACGTAACTATATGTGGATACAACTTCAGTCTAGAAAGGCCCCGCCCAGACGACCGGGGCGCCGCAGGCAATCGGTTCTGTGCCTAGAGAAACAGCCTCGATCATGAACTCGGCCACATTTTTTGAAGGAGAGATCACCACCCATCTGGCCAATAACATCAGCCTGAAATGAATGCCCACTAGGCAGAGGTTCATGTGCATTCGCCCTCGTAGAGGAAATGCTATGAACTTCTAGCGTTGCATCCATCTATTACGAGCTTAGGTCCAACAGGTAAGGTGTGAACAGTGCGCACACAGGTGATAAGGAAGTGGCAATTTTTTTGTTCTTTCCCCACCTTCGTACTCGCTGCATGGTCGTCGGCATTGGCCGAAGGCGGCGTGGGGCTCATCTTGTGGGCTTTTTCCAGGGCGATCTGCTCAAGCGCGTGGCGCACGTAGCGCTGCCAAGCAGTGAGAGTGGAAGTAGTGGTAGCACTCGGTCTTGGTGAACACATCGCCTTCAGCAAAGCCGTACAGGCATATGGTGCATTGGCAGCACGGCACATTTTCCTCTGTCAGGTGTTCCTTCGCCACCTGCACTGTGGAACGGTGAACAAGTGCATAGGTATGCTTCGTTTAACCGCGTTAAATGAATACCGAACACAAAAATTTCCAGCTGTCACTTCTTTTTTTTTTTTTTTTTTTTGCATCAAATGAACGGTCAAGCCTTCGAAAGCCTCTGGAAAATGTATTGGTAAGCGCGAGTGCACTATGAAAAAGTAATTGCAGTACATTCTTAAAAGCTACGATACCACAACGTCGCAACACGGCATGAGCTTCTTGGCACGTGCTCACGCAAGATGTTGCTACGAATCCGCGGCCGCTCTGTCCCATGGCTGCGTTGGTGATATGCAAGCCCCCCCCATTTTGAATGTTTTTGTGCCCAAATCATCGCAACAAGACAAATTGAAGCAAGAAGTGATCAGGACTGACACTGCAGCCTGACATAGGTGCGATCTGCGGCTTTAACAGCGCTAACTTGCACATAAAAACACCATTGCGCGGGGCACATTTGACTGTGATATAATGCACATGTAACTGAAATTTGACGTGGTTGCATCACCTAGAGCTTTGATCAATCAAATGAAAATTCTTTGGGGTGTAAAATTATTCACTAGACCAAGGTTGCAAGTCACCTGTGCTTTGATGCAAGTGTACCGAATTAGGTCACTTTTGCAAGAAAAACAATGTGAGCACTTCTCGTTTAATCTATTAATATAGATAGTCCAACGTTCAGTACTCTGCTGTGTCTTGCTTTTTGGCAGAAGTACCTGCCAGTCAGTGCATTGAAACTGACTGCATTTACCAAGTTCTTGCGATTTTTTAATTTTCGTGTTTCGTATACGTCTGACTTAATAATGGCTTTCTTTTTTTATTCAAACCTGTCAGAATCCGCAGTAAACTAAGGTTCCCTTCACAGGTGACCCACTCTCAGGCACTCGCTCCACAGCCTTGGTTAAATCAGCCTGGCAAAGACGGTTGAATCAGTCGTGGTGATGCTTCCCCAGAGCCGCCAGTGTACGGCTACATTGACCGCGAATAACGTCCAGCGAAAAATAAAATCCAACCGGTTTTGTGTTCTCAGGGTCTTCACCCTCGAGTTTTGTGCGATGGCTGCACACAGATACGGCACAATCAAACGTGATAACGAATGGCGGGCACAAAAACGGCTAAACTTTAGAATCGCGCAGAGGCACACACAGTGTAAACGACTCTAGTCATGGCAGTCAGAACTAGAGCTTTTCCTGCATCACCCGCATGCTGTGCAGATATGCTGACGCGTTGGCTGCAGGAGCGCAGGGTTGCTCGTAGGTGAATACCACCTATAGACTGATCATATGGGTATAGTTATATACTACTCGAGCAGCCTTAGCAAATCTATAGTTGCCTCACTAATAATTACAGAACAACTAAGCAAATGACGTGGGTGTTCAGTACTTGGAATGCATGCTGCTTATCCTAGCACTCTGTGAGCAAGATTATTTCAGCATGGTGCAAACACAGCACACTGTGGATGCCACCTTGGTGCACAGAGCAGCATTTGTTAAGCACTATGTCTTGTTATGACAATACCCTAAAAATATTGTTGTCAAAAGCAACCCTACTGTTAGCCATTTGTGCCATGTTGTCTGCCAAGAAATTTGCTATGTTTTTCAAGTGTGATGTAGGGATGTACATACAAATGTGTAACAAATACATTAGTTTATGCTTTGCATGTTTGTCTTATCAAATGTTAAGCTTTTTTTTTACTTTTCAACAAGCAGTCATACTTTGCTCACCTCTATCAATTGGTACAGCATCGGACTCCCCACATTTTCTTGTGCTGTATCTTGCAAATCTTCTTGAATCTTGGCGATCTTGTCGTCAGAGAGGCCTCTGGGGTTGCGGATTGTAATCTCAGGCAAAACATCAGGATACTGTAAGTAGAATGCCAACTCTTAAAAGGTATTCCAGAATGAAAAAAAGGCTTTCAATAGGTTGTGCTCTGTTCAATGAACTTCCACAAGGCTTTGTGCAAAAGATTTTTTTTACTCGTAGGTGTTGCTGCAGAAAACGACATCGGATGTTGCATTTTCCCCGCATCACACGTCCCTTTTGCATGATCCCCTATAAACATACCAACAAGCTTCCAGTGCATACGTCACACCTAATCACTGGCGATGAATGATGCTCGCTTTTAACGTTAGGTCCGATTCCTCAGCTATTATCTGGTGTTGTTCGTGCGGGTTGTTTTGTAGAACAAGCAGCCGCCGCTAGTCAAGGATAACTGGCGTTGGTTCGCGAGTGCGTCGTCAACGAACGGGAAAGGGTGTGCCGATTAATGCAAGAACGCGGGTGGGCGAAGGCAACAAACAAACTGCGACACTAAACCGTTTCACTGATTGCGAAAGTGTGACACAATGTGCATAAGCCAGCCACCAAGCTGATGCATCTCACCTCGGGTGGTATTACCAGGACTAGATCTAGTCGAACGTACTGTTCTTCGGCGTTATCGGCAGTGGCCGGGTGTAGAGACACCTTCACGCACGTCGATTGTTGGCTAAAACCACGAGAAAAGATGGGAAAAAATGTTATGACAAACAGTTCGCTTCCAATTGCCACCATTTTCGGTGCATGCAGACTTCCCTACCAGCGTCACACGCGATATCAAACGTTACGCTCGGAATATCCGTCGCTTACCTTTCGTCGCAGCCGACTTCGAGCTCGTGGATGTAGATGGCCTTCAGAGCTTCGATCTCGATATCAAGCGAGCTGGAAACACCAACGGGGAAGCCATGGAGTGGGAAAGAAAAAAAAAACAAAAACATCTGAGCCCAATGGCAGTTGCGCTTTCCCCATCACGATGCAGGGTGCTACGGTAAATGCGGCGGAGGCACACGCAAGATGAAATGACAGCCATACTCGACACAGTTTTCATGCATCTACGTTTAACGCTAAATACGTTCACTGTGTAAAGCAGAAAAAAAAAAAATGATCGCCCTCAAAATGATCAGATTTTCGCTCCTACGGCTACAAACACACGTTATATGTCCAAGCTGACCACAGATATCTCACCTTTCCTCTTCGCTGCTCATCTCTGAAGGGTCGCCACACCGAGCGGAGAGAATTTGTGAAGATTTGAAAGCACTACAGTCCTTATCTTAAAAATTTTTACACTGTAAATCTGTGCAACTGCTGGTGTGCCGTTGCTAGCTGCTGGCCAAACTGTACCACAGTTGCTTGTCGCAAACTCGTCGCTTTTGTCGTTTTTGCGCCAAATATAGCGCGTGATTGTGCGTGCAGTGTATGTAATGAAGGCAAAGATTTCAAATATAAATAATTATTTCAAAAATAAATAAAATTTAAGAAGCGAAAGCATTTTTTTAGCTTGCAGTTATAAGTTCAAAAGTAAGTGCTGCCGCTATAATTTTTGTCACATCGCGTTTTTTTTTTTTATTTCAGCAACGCCTCGCATTTGCTGTATCCGGTTTTCTCAGCGGCTGCCGCCGGTGACTTTTCCCGTTTGCAGTGCCATGTGTGTCTGACCCACGTGAAGTGTGCAACGTGAATTCGTTATTCAAAAATACGTGTAACCAAACTTAACTCGCCAAGATGAGTACGGTCCTCGAAAAAATAGCGGCCATCGAGGCCGAGGTAAGCTGGCTTCTTGCTCACACGGTCGCTTCCAAGAGGATACCTGCGGCATACGGGTTGAATACCCGCGAAAGACCTCGATGACATAGTTCTTTCGAATGTGTCAGAGACGTTCCATTTTGGTCTTGTAATAAAAGAAAATACACCTGAGCGTACTTAACGCAGCGCAACATACTGCAGGTGTCGCGAGCCGCTTAATTTTAGGAATACAAGCGTTTCGCTGTTGACGTGCGTGGCATCTCAAGCAACATCCTCGCCGTTCAGGCAGTCACCGGGAATGTTCCGCTAGTGTAGCGAAAATTGGTCGAAAATATCAACGCCTCGCCTTATCAGCTGCTCAAAATGTAAAGCTAGATTCGTGCCGGAGTTTCGTGTTGGGGTCAACTGCGTCAGCAAGCATAAATTTTGCCGCAGTGTTTTCTACGTACAATTTCTTTGAAATATACAGTGCAAGTGTAACTATAAGATTATATGCTTTGCATTTACTAATGCTAAGCAACGAAGCTTCAAAAACATTTGCCCAGTGCACGCTTCATGTCTAGTCTCAGTACATTACCAGTGTGAACGTACGAAAGCAGCTATTTCTTTTTGCGTTCCACTCTTGGCTAATCACGTGGACCAGTATATGCATGTAGCGTTTACGGGAATTGTTGGCGAAGTTTGACAGCTGTAGCATGTGTAAACCGATTGTCAGACACTTTCAACTTGCGATTAAAACGGTAACAAGTTTGCAGCGTGCCTCGCCTGCAGTAGTGCTCCAAGACTGAATCGATAACTCTAGCGTACTAGACACGTCGCTAGAAACGGAAATTCTTGTAAACCGTGCCATTAGAGCTGACCATAACGGAGTGACCGGAAAATGAAATTACTTCTTTTTTGTGTGTGTGGGCAGAACGCAGTGAAAGTTCGGATAGCCTTATTTTTTTCAGTCTAATGCATCTGAGCATTACAGTTCGGCTATTCTGCACGAAATTACAGTTTACTCACCCAGCCAAACTTAATTGGCTATTTCTATGTGACTGTTCCATTCCCAGCAGTGTTCATTTTTGTTTTCTTACTTTCATATTTAACCAGCATTGTTGAACACGCAACTGATCGCTAGAGAAGCAGCCCCTGCACCTGTTTTGTCATGGTAGCAATTGAGATTCATTTTGCTCGGCAAGCTGTTGCATTTAAACGTTATGAACTTGGCACGACCAGAGCTTCGATGTGCCAGCTTTCGTACGAAATAAAGAGCTGACCAGTGCGTAAGAATTGACGAAACAAAGTGCCGAGCTACATTTTATCTCTCTTGACAGATGGCCCGTACCCAACGGAACAAGGCAACTATGGGCCACTTGGGTCTCTTGAAAGCTCGACTGGCCAAGCTTCGACGGGAGCTGATCACGCCGAAGGGTGGAGGCGGTGGACCTGGCGAGGGCTTTGACGTCGCCAAGACTGGTGACGCCAGGATAGGTTTCGTGGGTAGGTATATATATATATTCCAAGTTCCTGTACTGCATTCCTTTACACTTCATATACATGATTATTTCTCAGTCTTGTTGCCTATGTGATTTTCAGTGAGACAGTGATCGGGTAACTGTGGATGTGTCAAACTTAATTTGTCAACTCAGAAAAGTGGCAAGTTGCATTGCTGATCCAACTCATGCAGAGGTCCAGTATAGTAAACAATACGAAAAAATAAATATGAACACTAAGAACTGTACAAAAAAAAAATGATTATATGCAATGACGAGAAATATGACCATGGTACAGAAAGGAACTATGTAAGCATGTCTGTTTTGAAACATTTTGATTGGGCGATTTCTTAACGAAATGAAGAGAAGCTCGAAGTTTAATAGTCTTTTCAATTTAAAGTAATTTTACACTTCGCATTGTTCAAAATTCGGTTCAAATGCCGATACCGGACCATTCCCAATCGTTTACTTAATTGAAACATGTTATGATGAAATCGTTAAAAAAAAGAGTAAAAGTCTGGGAGGCAGTCTCACTGGCGACCACCTGCCGGTAATGCACTCCCTCAACAGAGCGGGATTGGCCACCCTGATGAAGTACTTGGCCACTACCTCCCATATGATCGCACCTTTTAACCCTCGGCACTCAGTTCCCAGCGGCTGCGAATTGACTGTCCAAGGCTGCGGTCAGACCTGCAAATAAGCGGAGGGTGCTAGGAATTTTTGGGTCCGGACAGGCTTTTTTCGGGCTTCCCTATAGAGTGGCTCTCACGAGCGTGCATGCAGTACATGCAGCTCGTGAGAGCTGCATGTACTCCTTAATGCAGCGGTACTCCTTAATGAAACTACCACTGAAACGCTACCGCGTGAGCCGAGTTCTGCCCGGTGAAAACGTAACTTTAGGACCACCCGTGCCATTCTCCGTTGTAATAATGCCAAGTAATTTTTTGCATGAATCATACAGAAACACACATAGCGACATTTTATTACATTTTGCGCTATGCCCAGAATGTTCCTTTTTTTGTCAAGGTGATCTGTGTACTAGTGATCGATTGTACTTAAGACTTCCAACGTAGTCAGGCTCATTCCAAAATGTTCCACTCGTAGCGCATATTGCATGGTACATTTACCTTAATTGTCCGATTAGTAGAGCACTGCCTTTAGTAATTTTGACATTTTAGACGATCTCAAACATTGACCTCTTTCTCTGACAAATTCTTATTTTCCCTTAGTGTCTCTTATCATGCTATCGTTAAACTGCCATTCCAAATTTGTGAGGAGGGCTTTCAACTACAAGGCTAGCAAACGTTCACACCGCACCCAGGGTTCCCATCGGTGGGCAAGTCTACGCTCATGAACACACTGGCGGGTGTTTTCTCCGAGGTGGCTGCCTACGAGTTCACCACGCTGACCACTGTGCCGGGTGTCATAAAGTACAAGGGGGCGAAGATTCAGCTGCTTGACCTACCAGGAATCATCGAAGGAGCCAAGGACGGAAAGGGTCGAGGTCGACAGGTTATTGCTGGTTGGTGTAGTTTTGTTCTTTCCTTCTCACTCCTCCCTCTTTGTTCTTTAACTCCCTTCTTTTCTTATCCCACAGACACTAAGCTGTGCTCCCTAATTCTTACTAAGGTTGCTGAAGTGGCACTTTTTTATTGCTAAAAATCGCTGAAGAAAAGTGGCACCACTTGAACAACTGAGGCCGCTGAAGTGGTGTCCCCCTTGCCCCCGTCCTTCCTACTTTAGTCCCCGACCCATGAAGGACTGGTTATACTCTTCTGTTTACCTCACTTGTAAGGTTTCCAAAGTGCTTTTGTGTGTATGGGAAAACCTTCTTTCACTTCCTCGCTACCTTTTCAATACTCTCCTTTGTGCATTTGGTTAACGTGAAAGCATACAGTGTAGAAGTTACGCCAATTAAGCATCTGTTTCAAAAAACCAAAAGCACGACAATTCGCACTAAACGATCTGGCACAGTAACACATGCAGGAAGCACTTTGCCAAACCCATCTTTTTTTCCTTCATTGATGAAGAAAGCATGTCGGTGAACATAGGTTTGAGTTAGTGCTGTGTCTTCGACTCTCTAAGAAGAGTTGCATTCTATACTCACTAGCAAGTGTTTTTCTCGCGCAATTATATAATCAATCTTGCTACCCTTGTTATTCGCAATGCCCACTGGGCTATAACTATGTGCCTGCCGTGCAATCGAAGATGGCTGCGAGAGGAAAGTCAACACATGAACTGGCATAGGAAATGATAAAGACGTACGAATGTATGCTTTGTGCCCACTTTCATCGGATGAAACTGTTGATTGTCAAATGAATGTATACCGAACCAAAGCACTTTCCCAAAAGGTAGGAACTGCGAAATGTTCGCTACCTAATTTTTTACTGCAGTGCGAAGGGTGGTGGTGTCAGGCTGATCGACCATGCGTCAACGATGCCTTGCGTAATCCTGTGCATGCTGCAGAAAACTGTGCGAACTAGAATTAACAAATGAACTGAATGGCACTCCAAGGTAATTGGTACTGAGCCTGCCTGATGGATTTGCCGCAGCAGTAGGCAGCTAGTGAGTAGCGCGCAATCGCTGCCGCATGGGAATGAATGTTTAACGTGGCGATGGTTTGCAAACATACTATGCCGTCGTGATTACTTGCACCGTCAGCATCGTGGAGTTGCTTCTTTAACGGAACACAAGAATTTAATTTCCCATTAAGTAGAGTCACAGCCATGCTCAGGCTAACTGTGCACAATTCACTGTGCTAGGATGTCGCAAGTTCTATTAGCGTGATCAAAACAAGAATTTTGGAAAGAAACACACGTTTGCTTTTGAAATGTCAAAATTACAAAAATGTGTCAAACAACAACACCATTTGGAAGGTACTGGTAAAGTTCAGGAGAAGTTAGCAGAGAGGCGTGGATTGTTCATCGCTGTAACCATTCCGCTTCGCTGGTCAAGTTCGAGCGTGTCGGCAACATGCGTCACTCCATAATATTCAGAGTAATTGGGCTACACATGCAATGCACGTACAACAAAAGCTATGGTTTTATTTTACCTTGCTGAAGGATATTATAAAATAAATGCAATCAAAGTGACTCAAAAGCGTGAAAAAACATTAACACATGAGGAGATATGAAGTGCAACTTGCTCCTTATGAGCTAGCAGCTGATCGTTCATTACCGCTACCTCTCTCGGTGCGTTGGCAGTCTTCTATGTCCAGTAAAAAATCCTCGTCATCAAGATGGTTTCTTTTAACATTACTGCTAAAAGCAATCTGAGAAATTCTTTCTGCCAAATGACTTCAACAACACCAGTAACACGTCACGCACTACGTACAACACCAACACTGCGTCACTCACTGCGTTTATTCGGGCGCGGATAGCGTTTTGCTGGAAACCCGCCAACAAGTGAATCGCTTGCAGCGTGCTGCCATCTATCAATAAACACACAAAAAGAAGCGGTGCACCGTTGGCAAAGGTTCAAGTCTTGGAAGAGGAAATCTCGAGCCCGTGCGACTTTCCGCGTAAAATGAACATTATGGGATTCACAAAAGCACTTACCAATGTTATACACATGTAAAACAAAGTGAGTTTAAGTGAGAGGGTCAGACGATAACATTTAACTAAGCTACGTGGCTACAGCGAATTTGGCCGAGCTGATTGCATACTCTGCGGCCCATAATAGAAAGCGCGAGTTGCCACTCGTTTTAACGAAAACTTTGCGTCTCGCAAAAACGAATCTGATTTATCGTGTCGCAAACTGTATGGTTTATTCACTGATGCACGAGACGTGGAAAGTGGTTGCCTTTCCTTTCTCGCCAACGTGTTGGCACTGAGGCTACTAGCACGTCCAAGCAAGGGAGTGTCTGCCTACTGATTATTCTCGAGAGGACACTGCTAAATTCCACCTGGCAGCGCGACAGTCTGTGGGCATTGCGAATAATGCAGAGTTTTTGATGTGTGCAGATCATGAACGGTGTGCACACAATTGGTGTGGCATGGCATTCTTGGTAGCAAAGTAGCGAGTGCACTGTTTTTTTTTGAGAAAGGAAATTCGAGTGTAGCAAATATTTGTGTTACAGAAAAGTGTGCAATTGTCGCCACAGCGGTTACGGTGCTCAGCTGCTAACCCAAAGGTCGTGGGTTCAATCCCAACTCTGGCAGTCACATTTTGATAGAGGTGCAAATACTACTGTGCAGCGTCAGTGCAAATTAAGGAACAGCAGGTGCTCAAAACACCAGGAGCCTTCCGCTGTGGCATGCCTCATAATAATATTGCAGTTTCGGTGCATAAAAGGCCAGATATAACTGCAAGGGTGCAACTGTTTTTCATTGTGCGAATAAAATGCTTGAAAACGCTTTGCGCAGTCGCCCGGACGTGCAGCCTTATCTTCATTGTGCTGGACGTGCTGAAACCCCTCCAGCACAAGCGCATCTTGGAGCGAGAGGTAGAAGGCTTCGGCATCCGGCTAAACAAGGAGCCTCCGGCGATCACGCTTCGGCGAAAGGACAAAGGTGGCATCAACCTGCAGATGCTGGTATGCTGTCGCTCCTGCAACGTCGTTCACAAATACGCCATTTCGTTTTTGCTGACCCTTGCTGATTGAAGCAAAGACAATTTAAGAGCTAATACCCGTGCCACACGGGCATAGAAAATGACATTTGGTGGCGAAGGCCTTCAGTTCCCGAATGACATTCGTTTCGCCGGCGCTGCTACACGTCCAAAGCGAATGACATTTGACTTGATGATGTCGATCACAGCACCTTCCAAGTGAGCATTGAGTGAATAGCAATAAAAAAAATTAAGAAGCATTTACAAGCTTCATACACATCAGATAGTCATCAAATGTAGAAATAAGCGTATTAAGCTGTCCTAAGTTTTAGTTTCTTGCTTTGTTTTACAACGTTGCAGCCGACCATACCAACCTAAGCCAACACTAGTCAGATCCACAGCGTAAATAGACACTAAAATTGACAAGCGTTTCATTATCAATACTTTATTTTCTTCGTATAACGTTCAAAGCATCTTTTTAAGACTTTAGTGCAAATAAACGACGGGAAATTTCATTTTTAGCTCGATATGATTTGTTTTATATACTTTCAGGTAAATTGCACTTCGCGAGCTGTGTCATCGAGAGTAGGCATTTCTCAGTCAACTGAGTTCTGGCGAAGGCAGTTGGTGGCGAATGTCAGTCGGATGAATGCCATTTTGTTCGCCCGTGTGGCACCGCACGAATGGCAATAAATCTGAAGGCATTCAGGGGTAAATGCCATTTTTTCTGCCCGTGTGGCACGGGTATAAGTAATGTACATTATGCAGTGCTCTTGACAATTCCATCTCTAGCAAACCTCAGAGTATTGTTTGAATTATCACGATTCTCCTAATTATAACTCTTGGGGAAAAACCAACTAATATGCTGATGCTTTTTTTTTCTCAGCGCTGCAAAAACATCATACTCAGCCCCGCATGATTGTAGGTAAAATGTGTATACATCAGCGATCATACTGGCACTTGTAGAATGTGTGCATATGTCTGTAATTTGGGAGGAAACGTGTTGTATTTTGTAATTAGTTGGTAGCAGCTTCCTATTCTTGAAATGCTTTGCTGCATGACTCCAGTGTACTTTGGCCAAAGCGACTTTAAGAGGCGTTCGTGAAATAGCCCAAGGCCAGACCGTTTCCGTTTGTTTATTTTTCCTTCCTCGGTTAGCATGAGATCTTTAATTCATGTGGTTTGGTTAGTTTGGCCATTTTGTAGACAGGCAGTCAGCATTTTTTCTGACTGTTAATTACGTAAAAATGACGATGTTTGGGTTTTGTTAGAATTTACTGAAAGTTTGATTGATTTAGAGTCCACTGCAATTCCATTTTCACCATCTTCATTTCTTTTCATACTGACGCTATTCGTACTCTAAACCCGTTTGTTGAAGCCTACATTAGTTGAAAGATCTGTTGTGTCATGGAGTGGTTACCTCGAGCACTTGTGCAATGCCACTTGTTATGCTGAATGTTTTGCAACTCGTTTCAATCTGTGAGCATCGTACTGAAGACTGTTAAACGAAACCTGAAGAAACGAGCAAAATATGTTCTATTTAACAGAAGTTGCGTTTTGTGAGAGGTAGACATGGGTGCAGAATTGAAGTACGGAGCCAGTCACACTAGAGGAATTCGTTCCTATCAACTCTTTTAGGACTGTGTGAAAAAGTGTCTACGGGGATGGGTGGTAAGCTTTTTTTTTTATTAAATCAAACAATAGTGCTATATTTATGTTCACTACATCACAATGAAGCTAATGAAATGGCCTTTCATATAGATTGAAATACAAGACATAACAGTCTTGTATAACGGTAGAATTAACTAGAAGAAGGTTATCTGATTGGTGGCTGAAGTCAAGGCAAGAGTGAAAATTAAACCCTTCACTGCAAAGTACCAGCCCCCAACTTCACTATTTAAAGGGGAAAAAAAAGATAAATCTAGTGGTTAGTTTACTAAGTATTACGGCTAGGTGGCGTTAGCTGCCGCACGATCTAAAGGGTACAGCCACATCTATCCATCCATCCAACGGCTGGAACGAGCAGACGACATTATTACGGCCATTTTCGGTGCTGCGATAATTACTCGAGGAAAAAAAAAAAGTCATATTTCTGTTGGGCGATGTGGGGGGTGCGAGAATTATGGAAGTGCGAGGATTACGGGAGTAAATACAGTAAACGCTATACAGCAGTATATGTAAAAACAAACAAAAATTTGAAATTGGCCGCACGCAGGGAGCCATGACAATATATGATTGACAGTCTTGGTAGAGTTAAGCAGCAATCCTGTTCAAGAGATTTCCATTTATACCGAGGGTCTACTGTACATAGTATTTTATCTCAGCTGTGTGATTCTGGTGTCGAGTACAAAGCGGCTCGATAATTTTCTGGCTAACTCCAGCTATGAGTACAAGATGCAGTAACATTCCTGGAGTCCTTTTTCTTGCCGTGATATTTCTAGCAAGCGACCCCTCCAATTCCGTGCTTTTCAAACAAACAAAAAAGTGTTCCCCACCCCTTCAGTTTCGCACCCTGATTACTGTGGCCAGGTAACACTGGCTGGCTTGAATGCAATGGAACCATCCTTCTTGGCAACTTAATCTGTAAGCACCTGTGCTTGATGTCTGACTTCTTTTTTCATTTCTGCGTAATGATCGCACCCCAAACTTAGTGAACGACACCCATGATGATTTCCAGGTTCCCGCGAGCACAAGCATAGCCTTTGAGATCTGTATCTGCAGTTTGAAAATGGTACCCATGATATTTGTTAAGATTATGGTGCACATGGAAAAAAACTAATATTTCCATGATTTGGGTCTGTTGCCTGGAGCTGTTGCAACGGCGTTGGCTCTTCATTGGAAGTGCCTCCATGCCATTCTTTCCATGGCCTGGGCACGTTGCCTTTGTGTTTTTACAGCGAAAGCTGCTGTGAGATCACAGTAAGGATCATGTGAGCCATAGTCTGCTGCCGGTGTCGGTAGCCACTGTCGTGTGAAATAAGAAAAAAACTACGTAAATAAGCAACACCAGGGACACAATGGGATTCGAACCCGGGTCTCCTGCGTGAGAGCCCAGCACTCCACCACTGAGCCATGCCAGTTCTCTAAACTCTGTGTCAAATTGACTTAAGGCAGGTTTTATCTTGGGGAAAAAAAATCGCGTTAATATTAGTAGTAAGGTGTTTTAGAACAGCAAAGGAATGACCAGGCATCACACAATGTGGGTTGTCTTACAAGTAGCTCGTCAAATGCTTCAACCAACCTCAAAAGCTTCAGGCATAATTCTTCATCGTCGTCAACCACAGCATGAAAAATATTGCAAAAAATTCCTTGAAAGTATGTGGTGGGTATCACGCTTCTCTGAAGGATGGCATAGTGAATGCATCCCTATAATAAAAATTTATGATTTATGCGGTAAATCATCATAAATACTCCGCAAGTGAGCTTGCGGTACCCTGCAAGTGTGCTTCTAGCAGTTACCCAAAGAATGTTTAAAACAGGCTCTGAAAGGCTGCTCTTCTAGCTTTCGCTGTGACTGCGCTGCACATTCCGCGCAGGCTTGGCAGTTTTTGTGTTTGTGAGTCACTCTTGTGATCTGCTGTACGATGGACCAGAGCTAGGAAACTTCCGTGGAAGTTCGTGTGAACGCAGTTTTTTTTTTCTGGGGAGGGAGACCGCTGTTGGCATCTTGAATTCAGGTTCTGTTCCACAAAACCCACCCCCAGCCTTCTCTATTTTGTGAGTAAGTTGGGCCTTATAATGGGGGCATTCGCTCAAATTTTTACGGGACTTTGCAGTGTTAAACTACAAAATAGTTCTTGTTTAGGAGTTTCGTTATGTTGCTAGATAATGCCTCATACTCTTTCTGTTGTTGTTCTGGTTTCAATGGTTACAGGTGCCCCAGTCAGAGCTAGACATGGACACAGTGAAGACCATTTTGTCTGAATACAAGATCCACAACGCTGACATCACGCTACGGTGTGATGCCAGTTCTGATGACCTGATTGACGTGATTGAAGGGAACCGCATCTATATCCCCTGCATCTATGTACTCAACAAGATCGACCAAATTTCTGTTGAAGTAAGTTGCACTTGTCTCTCCTCTCTCAAGTGAGGTGCTGAGGCACATTGTTTTTATGTGCAATATCAGAAAAAAAAAAACAAGAAATATGTATTTGAACCTTGGTCGTACATAGGCTGCTGGTGTTTTATGAAGTTGCACATTTTATGTCTATTTTTGAAATCTGGTTATTGTGGCTTAAGTGTGGCCTTTGACTAGCCACAGTAAATTTCAGGCAAAGGCAGGTTGCCATGAGTAGAGGTTTTTTAAAGAAAACAGCCAGTTGTTTTAAATTGTCTGTGTGTTGTGTTAGCTGTTCGACGTTTTTGCAGCAGCAGTACTGGGTAAAAAGAATGTACTTGAATTTCTGCTCATCATTTGAAAGACATCTTTTATTTTTCAAGAGGAGCTTTACACTATAGACCACTTATAACGTAAATCGCGGGACTCACGAATATCCGCACTGTAAGCTGTACTGCACTATAATCAAGGCAGCCTTCTTCAAGGGCCGCTGTTATGCACAACGTGTTGAGCATGCAGCCTCATGTGTTGAATTGAAGCATGCGATGTGTGGTGCTTACAACCATTCAAATTTTCAAATGCTCAAAAAACGAAAGAAAAGAAAGCACTACAGAATTGCATAGCCAACAGAATAAATGGAAAAGGATTGAGGGAGGTCTAACAAAAGATAGCAACATAGCAGAAATTCGTCGTCTATTTCTCAGACTGAGACTAACTCAATTAGGCACATTACGCAGAAACTATGTTGAATCACAACCGAAATTCCAAGTACTGGAAGACGTCAATCGTTCGATTTCACGGGCGCACATCCAGTTTCAAGTCATCGCAATCTAATTGTGAACCACCATTCAAGTGCTACATGTGCCACGCTCATTTTTTTAACAATATGTATCCCTTCCCTTCAAGTGCAGGGATCGCAAAGTTTAGTTAATTTCGTACTATAAACCGAAACTTAGGCAACACATGATCGCTAAACGCAATCAACGCTGATTAGGCCTAGCCTGCCGTTCGGTATGTTGTGGTGGGAAGTTTGTCCAAGACGTGAAGATCGGGTCTCAAAATGATTGCACTAAAGTACTGAACAAAGAGCAGCGTGCGTGATACGAAGTTTGTGTTGGCGGACGGGAGATCAACAACAAAAACCCGCCAAGCTTATGTAAGGCCGTGCACTGGCAGCAAAGGCGAAAGCTCGCATGTTAAAGCCGTAAAAGCTTTGAAATTTACAGACCAGGAAGCTAACGCGATATCTGAAGTAATCTCAATAACGGCGCTTTTCCCAACAGGAAACTCTTAAGCGCAGTTGGTAAGGAAAGGATCGCGCGTGCCATGGTGAGCTGCGCACCGCCAGCAAGTGGCCAGAGCCACTTAGCGATGTTTGCTAGTTCACTTCTTGTAGCCGCGTCGGCGTCGATACAAAGGCTTCGTGGGCATCCGCTCTTCTCCCTTATTCGGCGAGACGTGCAGCGTGCACCAGTCCTTTTTTTTTTTTTTTCCTCTCTCCGGCCTTTGTTCGTACACTTCGCGAGGCTTCCTCCTCCGTCATAACCTCGTCGCTCGCTCCCCAGCAGCACACCTCCTTTCAGACGCACATTCCTTACTGCGTTTGTCACAATGATTTTTCAGCAACCGCTTTATAGCCGGTCTGTCATCTTGTGGGGGGGGGATTCTGCACAATAACCGGTATGCGTATACATGGGGTTCTATCGGAGGGTAAACGGGAGCCGAAGAAGACCGTGTTGTAACCAGTCCTGCACTGCAAGCGGTTACGTTTTAAGTGGTCTACACTGTATTAATGAACTGCAAAACGGGCAGTGTACCAAAAAAAAAAATCCACGGCTGTGGAAAAAACACTAGACGTGCTCATCCAAAAACCATCCTGAGCCGCAGCTGGCACACGCCAAGGAGATCATAAATAACACTTAATGAAATTTTTTTCTGGCCTAAGGTTAGAATATTCATTCTTGCAATCTAAAAGCAAGTGCCTCGACCACCAGACCGCACATCTATGCTTGCCCGCTGTGAACTCAAGCATACAAATGTGTCCTATTGATGAAGAAAAAAAGAAGGGGGGGGGGGGGAAGCAGTATGTTTGCTGTGACCTCTTCATTAAAATAGTTTGGGCTGCTAGACTAAAAGTTACCTGCTGGACAATTTAAATGGTTTATATCAGGAACGCCACATTTCAGGAAAGTTTTGACTTCAAGAAAATTGAATTCCTAACTTGTGTTTAGACGATTGTGTGATGGTCCTTTCGTTGGGCTGTGCTACATTCATCATAACAAAATTGCATTTTACATGAAAGTTTGTTGCATCCGAAAATTTGTTACATAGGTATAATCCTAACACCATTGCACGACTTTTTTTTAATTTAATATACATAAGGAGAGGTTGGTGCCAATGCGTGGCGCCGGCTACTCCTCTATTGCAAGACTATTCTTCACTTACTTCGTTATTACCGATATTTCGGTAATAACGAAGTAAGTTGCTTGGAGAATTGCTCCAGAATTTTGTTGATTTACAGCAACCTTTATCTCCAGGAACTGGACATCATCTACAAGATCCCCCACTGTGTTCCGATCTCTGCTCATCATAAATGGAATTTCGATGACCTTCTAGAAAAGGCCTGGTCTTACCTGAAGCTTATACGCATGTAAGTCATCTACTAAAGGCAGAAAAACCAAGTTTTGCACAGCTGTTGAAACGGCTAAGGTTCTTTCATTCTTATAAAGCTGCAGTGTGTCCTGTAGTGGTCTTAGATCAATAATATTGTTAATTGTTGTAGTTGTAGTAGTAGCAGCTGCGAAGCAACCGACCACGGAGGCGGTCAGATATGCAATGCAGCAGAGGGTGCTAAGAATCTCTGGATCCGGACAGGCCGCCATTGGAATCTGAACTTGGCAACGTTTAACACTGGAACCTTATCTAGTGAAGAAAGTCTAGCTGTATCATTCAAGGAGCTAGAGGGTGTTAAATGGGATATAGTAGGGCTCAGCGAGGTTAGGAGGACAGATAAGGCCTATACGATGCTACAGAATGGGCACGTCCTTTGTTATTGGGGCTTGGCTGACAGAAGAAAACTGGGAGTGGTGTTCCTAATTCATAGAAACATAGCTGGCAACATAGAGGAATACTATAGCAATAATGAAAGGGTGGTAGGTATCGTAATTAAACTGAATAAGAGATACAAGATGAAAGTTGTACAGGCTTACGCGCATACATCCAGCCATGATGACGCTTCAGTTGAAAGCTTCTATGAAGACGTGGAATCGGCAATGAGTAAGGTAAAAACACAGTATACTATACTGATGGGGAATTTAATGCAAAGGTAGGGAAGAAGCAGGCTGAAGACCAGGCAGTAGGAGATTATGGCATCAGTGCTAGAAACGCTACTGGAGAGCTACTAGTAGAATTCGCAGAACGCAATAATTTACGGATTTTGAATACCTTCTACCGAAAACGAGTAAACCGCAAGTGGACATGAAGGAGCCCTAATGGCGAAAATAAGAACGAAATAGACTTTATAATGAGTGCACACCCTGGCATCGTGCAGGATGTGGAAGTGGTTGGCAAGGTACGATGCAGTGACCATAGAATGGTACGGTCTCGAATTTGCTTAGACTTGAGGAAGGAATGACAGAAACTGATATGAAAGAGGCCAATCAATGAGCTAGCACTGAGAGGGAAAGTACAGGAATTCAGAGTCTCGCTTCAGAACAGGTACTAGGCTCATAGTGAGGAAAGCAGCCTTAGCGTTGACGCAATGAATGATAATCTTATGAGTATCATTACAGAGTGTGCAGTGGAAGTTGGAGGCAGGGTAGTTAGACAGAACACTGGCAAGCTTTCCGAGGAAACGAAGAATCTCATTAAGAAGCGTCAAATCATGAAAGTCTCAAGTACAACAGACAAAGTAGAACTGGCAGAGCTTTCGAAGTTGATTAATAGGCGTAAGGTATCCGATGTAAGAAGGTGTAACATAGAGAAAATTGAACACGCTCTGAAGAACCGAGGAAGCGTCAAAGCAGTGAAAAGAAAACTTGGGATAAGCAAAAATCGGATGTATGCACTAAGGGATAAAGAAGGCAAAATAACTACCAATATGGATAGGGTAGTTAAAATAGCGGAGGTGTTTTACAGAGATCTGTACAGTAGCCGGGACAACCACGACCTTAATACTATAAGAACTAGCAGTAACGCAGGTGACACCCCACCAGTAATGATAGAAGAAGTCAGAAAAGCTTTGGAGAGCATGCAAAGAGGCAAAGCTGCTGGTGAGGATCAGGTAACATCAGATCTGCTGAAAGATGGAGGACAGATTGTGCTAGAAAAACTAGCCACCCTGTTTATGAGGTATCTCCTGATGGGAAGAATACCAGAGTCTTGGAAGTATGCTAACATCATCTTTTTTTATTTATTTATTTACAGATGCTGCTGTCTCATGTTTGAGACATTGCAGGAGTAGTTACAATGAACAAACAAAAACAGCACAAATAAAAAACATAAAATTGCATAATTAGACACCTGTTCAACAAACAATGAAAGATCAAACAAAAGGAACAACAGCAAAATTAGGAACATCAATTTACATAATTGGACACTTGTTCAACAAACAGTGCATGCGGTAGTCGTTTCAAAGTAGTGTCCAGATTATTCCAAGTGTCAACTGTGCACGGAAAAAAAGAGTACTGTATTTACTCGATTCTACCGCGCCCTCGATCGTAACGCGCACCCGATTTCCACCGCGGAAAAAAAAAAAAAAAAAAAACGTAAGACATCGATTGCAACGCGCACCCATTTTTTCTCGCTGGCCCGCATGATTACACCACTCAAAAAAACGACTCCTTTCGGGAGCGTCTTCCATTTAAATATGAGGTACGGGCGAAGCTTGTGCCCATCTGACGTGTAACAGAGCATTGCTGTCACTGTAGCTTTACCGTGGACCGATGTCAGCACGCGAACTTGCTTCGCCCCCTTCTTCTCGACGGTTGTGGTGCCAGGCATGTCGAAGTAAAGAGGCGTCTGATCCGCATTCCGAATTTGCCCAAGCAGGTAGTCGTTGTTGCGCCGCAAGTTTAGGACGAACCTCTGAAAACTGTGAAGCTTTTCATCGTACACCTCCGCAAAACTTTTCGCATATGCATGTTCCCCTTCGGAGGGAAAAGCCTTTCCTCTTCATAAAGTTAGTTAGCCAGCACCTGCTCGCTTTAAACTGGCTCCGCATTAGACCTTTTTCTAAGACTACCTACTTGCATAGCTCGCACTTGGAGCAGTTCTGCCGTCACGGGCCGCTGTGCTGCTCGCTGCTAAAGCACATACTCGCCGAGCAGCTCTTTAATTTGCGGAAACCGACCCTGCTGTGGTCCACTGAAGCCTTTGCGTAAAGCTTTGCTGTCGAAAATCTTCTGCTTTTGTTTCCGCCGGTCCCGCACGCACGTTTCGGGAACTCCGAACGACCGCGATGCGGCCCGATTTCCGTCCGTTTCTGCACACGCGATGACTTTTCTTTTAAAAGCGGCATCGTGGTGCACTCGAGTTTTTGGAGTCGGCCATTCCACGCTGTCGATGCTAATGCACTACTAGATGACGAACTCCTCAGCACACGTACGAAGTGCCGCATCGCGACCTTTCGGCGTCATCGTAGCGCTGGCCGACTGGGCTCGTCCTACGTCATCTCCTGTCGCCGACGACCTTCGACGACAGCGCAGCTCTGATTTACTGGTCCTGCTCTACGCCATCTACAGACGCCGACACCATCTCGCGCAAGTGTACCCCGTCCTCGGACTCCAGTGACCGTTCTTCCATCTTTCCTGTCTCTCCTATCCCCTCAGTTTGTTGTTGCTTCTTCCTCTTTCCTATACCTTTACTTCTACCCTTTATCCCTCCTTACCCCCATCCCTTTGTGAGCTCTGTGGCGGTGTCGCTCACTGAAGCAGACAATAACGGGGCTCACTTTTCTCTTCCTTTCTCTCAAGAACCACTTCTCATGAGAAACACATAGGCAGAAATGGACGACGCGCCATGCCGACGCACGTAGGGGGCGGCCATTTTAGATTTGCCGATGGCAATAGATTGGCCGTAATTTTTTTGTTCGTACTCGATTCTAACGCGCATGCGATATATGAACTCGCTTAACCGGAAAAAAGGTGCGCGTTAGATTCGAGTAATTACGGTATTTATAACAATCAATAAAACATCCGAATGGCACAATGTTCAACGAATCGTATCGGCCAGTCACCTGGGTAGGATGATTGGTGAACGAAATGGGTGTGGCTATGCGGACGGCATTGTGCACTATGTTATGTAGCATGATAAGCCGATCGCACATACGTCTGTGTTCTAAACTGTTTAGCGATAAAGCATGGTAGTGCTCAGAAGGGGAGAAATCACGGTCATAACGGTTAAAAATGAATCTAATCGCTTTTCGCTGGATGGCCTCAAGTTTATTTATGTCAATTGCAAGATGCGGTGACCACACAACAGACGCATATTCAAGAAGAGGCCTGACCAGTGATTTGAAGGCTATAAGCTTGCATTCTTTTGTGGCGCCCTTTAGCGTTCTTCTTAGGTAACCTAATTTCGTGAGCGATTTTGCAGAAATAAGGTCGATGTGTTTGTGCCACTTCATAAGAAAGGAGATGAAATAAGAAAGGAGATGACAAGGACTTGAGGAATTACAGGCCGATCAGCTTGCTCTCTGTAGTATACAAGCTATTTACAAAGGTAATTGCTAACAGTGTAAAGAAAACATTAAAATTCAATTAACCAAAGGCACAAGCAGGATTTTGAACAGGCTACTCAACAATCGACCACATTCATACTATCAATCAGGTAATAGAGAAATGCTCAGAATATAGCCAACCACTATACATAGCCTTCATTGATTACGAGAAGGCGTTTGATTCAGTAGAAATATCAGCAGCCATGCAGACACTGCAGAATCAGGGTGTCAATGAAGCATATATATAAACATCCTGGAAGAAATATACAGGGGATCAACTGCTACAATAGTGCTTCATAAAGAAAGCAACAGAATACCAATCAAGACGGGTGTAAGACAGGGGGATACAATACCCCATTCCTATTTACCACGTGCTTACAGGAGGTTTTCAGAGTCATTGAATGGGAACAGTTAGGGATAAGAGTTAATGGAGAGTACCTTAGTAACCTGCGCCTCGCCGATGACATTGCATTGCTGAGTAACTCAGGGGACGAGTTGCAACTCATGATTACAAAGTTAGACAAGGAGAGCAGAAAGGTGGCTAATAAAATGAATCTGCAGAAAACGAAAGTAATGTACAACAACCTTGGAAAAGAGCAGCACTTCGAGATAGGTAATAGTGCACTTCAAGTTGTAAAAGACTATGTCTACTTAGGGCAGGTAATAACCGCGGAGTCGAACTACGAGATTGAAGTAACTAGAAGAATAAAAATGGGGTGGAGCCCCGCCGCGGTGGTCTAGTGGCTAAGGTACTCGGCTGCTGACCCGCAGGTCGCGGGTTCGATTCCCGGCTGCGGCGGCTGCATTTCCGATGGAGGCGGAAATGTTGTAGGCCCGTGTACTCAGATTTGGGTGCACGTTAAAGAACCCCAGGTGGTCAAAATTTCCGGAGCCCTCCACTACGGCGTCTCTCATAATCAAATGGTGGTTTTGGGACGTTAAACCCTACAAATCACTCAAAGCAATAAAAAATGGGGTGGAGCATATTTGGCAAGCACTCTCAAATTATGACAGGTAGATTGCCACTATCCCTCAAAAGGAAGGTATATAACAGCTGTATCTTGCCGGTAATTAGCTACGGAGCAGAAACCTGGAGACTTACAAAGAGGGTACAGCTTAAATTGAGGACGACGCAGCGAGCAATGGAAAGAAAAATGGTAGGTGTAACCTTAAGAGACAAGAAGAGAGCAGAGCAGATTAGGGAACAAATTGGGGTTAAGGATATCATAGTTGAAATTAAGAAGAGGAAATGGACATGGGCCGGGCATGTAGCGCTAGCGCGTAGACAGAATAACCGCTGGTCCTTAAGGGTAACTGACTGGATTCGCAGAGAAGGCAAGCGGGTTGGGGGGGGAGACGGAAGGTTAGGTGGGCAGATGAGATTAAGAAGTTTGCTGGTATAAATTGGCCGCAGCAAGCACAGGACCGAGTTAACTGGCGGAACATGGGAGAGGCCTTTGTCCTGCAGTGGACGTAGTCAGGCTAATGATGATGATGATGAGTAGTGGTAGTACTGTTTTGTAGGAGTTGTAATTGTTGGAGAAATAGCAGCAGTCGGTTGCTGCCTAACAATTCAAACTCAAAGGGGACTGCCAAGAAGTCGACATGATACTAATCAAATGTCTGAAATGATTAGATTCACCTGAAGATATGCAGCAGTATTCAATATGTAACCAAATAAGGAAGTGTGCTGTATTTTTGGATTATTGCTTCAGAAGATCATTTAAACATCATGTGAATTGTGAAATATGCTGATGCCTCACCTCTGCAAGCACAGGCACTCTTGGCACAGTGCCAAACAATTTGCCTTATCCCATCACATCATCTCCCTCCATCATCCCATCTTATCTATTACCAGATTGTGATAAATGGGGTTTTTCTCCATCACAGATACACCAAACCAAAAGGGCAGCTACCGGACTACGAAGCACCAGTCATTTTAAGCCAGGACAGAAAAACGGTGGAAGACTTCTGTAACAAGCTGCACCGCACCATTATGAAGGAGTTCAAGTGGTAATCGTTTGCTCTCTCCTGCCTCCTAGTAAAAGGCATCTTTTGAAGAACCTTGCAACACTAATCCATGTAATCACCACATAGCTGCATTAACAGATTTATTGTCTCAAGAATTACCTGCCACAAAATTTTAATGCGATTATGTTAAAAAGCTCATTTTGCAGTCTACTCTTGAGGGCAAAGCTTATTAAGTGTCCTCCTTTTTTGAATTCGTCAAGCAGGAGCAAGGTTACATAGATTGGTAACTTGCACTAAAGCACTTTCTCTTTCCCATTGTACTAGCAAGTGTGCTGACAACTACACAAGTGAAGATGACAAGGGTGCTAGACGTACTGCATTTACTTGCTTAATCCTCGCACTCGCATATTTCTCGCACCCCTCACCTTGCCCCCCCCCCCCCCCCCCCCAAAATAAAAAAACATTTTTTTTCCACGAGTAATTGTCACGGAAAATTGCAGCCATAATGTCGTCGGCTCCTTTCAATCACTAATGGTGATAGCGCACGCCATCTCGTGAGCATTATGCGTATTATCAATGCACGGAGGCCCAATCTAATCCAAGCCAAAGTGGTTAGCACGCATTGTGGTGTGACAGTGTACATTGTGTCCATTTTATGGTTAGCTACGGGGACGATACGGCAGCTACGCGGCTGCTTTCAAGTTGGAAGTGATTGAGCATGCACTAAGCGACAACAGGGCTGTCGGTATGCACTTTGGAGTCGACGAATCTTGTGTTCGCTACTGGCGACGGCAGCGTGGGCAGCTGAAAGTTAGTTCCTAAAAAGCTACAGTAAGCGCCAGCTGCGCCCATTCGCCTCTGCCTCCTCTCTCAGCAACCGCATCAGAGCTCCCGCAGCATCTAGCTAGAAACGAGGGACGCAGGCATACACTTGCTAGGCGCACAGGGGAGGGTAAGCCAGTGTCGTCGTGGACGCAAAAGAAATCACGCGATCGAGGACAGACGAGATTGCACTTGTACCACCAAGGCTACAAAGCACGGGGAAGAGAAGGAGCCCGCACACTGACACGAATGGCACTACTTTAGTTATTTCTAGAGACTTTACTGAAAGCCACCGAGACACGCTGGGCCTTCTGTGTTCCTAAGTTTGCAGTTTTATGGTGAAGCTTTATATCGCCAGAAGGTAATTGCAAGCGATTCTGTGTTAGATGGCCATCAGCCCAAGGTTGACGTCAAACGCTAACGCGGCACCTGCAATGCCCGCAAGCTTTGCATACGGTATTCGGAAACTGTACTATTTGCTCGCAGCTTTTGTTTCTCAAATAAATCCTGCCTTGTGTTGAAACGGTAGTTTAATGGTTAAGGTAAGTTTTCATTGGTACTTCTCAAAGCTTGTATAGTACATAATTAGTTGCTAGTGTGAGAATCCCGATTTGTGGCCACTGCGTTGTATTTTTTTCTTTTGCTCCATATGTTTTCATGGAAAATTTTTCTGACGTAATTCTCGTGCCCCCCCCCCCCCCCCCAACTTTTCAACAATATTATGAGAAAAAAGTGCGAGGATTAAGCAAGTAAAAATGGTTATCTGTTCGTCAGCATGCACTTTGATTTCAAATGATTTTTTTTTCCGTTGAATGCACACTTTCAGTGTTTGTGAGTGTGCTGGTGTAATGCTTTACTGTGCGTAATTTTAGCATTCACCAAGTGCGGAGTGAACACATCGTGGCACCTCGCTGTGGCCGTGCTAGCTGTGCCGCGAGCAATTCTCAAATCGGCCAATAATGGCAGTGGGTTTTGTGTTTGTGCTGCAAGTGCAAACGTTTTGGTTTGCACCACAAAGAACGAGCGGTTTATAGCCTACTTCGAAAATAATTTGTGAATTTTAGGCCACATGCTTTGCTGTAATGTTCGGCTCGTGTGTACTCGGGAGCTTCACTGCCAGCTGGTAGCGCTTTTCTGGCCATGCTCAAAAAGTGTTGCAGGGCCCCTTTGAAGCAACAGCGCCGTTGCTGTCACATAGAATGGCATGTCATGACGCAGTTTCTGTGATGGAAAGGTTTTTCGCTGCACTGTTTCATCTCTATCTCTTGTTGCAGTGCTTTGGTATGGGGCTCCTCGGTGAAGCACAATCCACAGAAAGTGGGCAAGGAGCACGTATTAAATGACGAGGATGTTGTCCAGGTGGTGAAGAGGTAAGGCGCCTATGCGGTTGGCTAGTACATGTGGCTTGATGTGGCTGTGCTGCCACTTGGCTGAGGCACGCTCAGAATTTGTAATTCTTCATTGACATCAATGGAAAACGGTACATTGCAAGAATCGTTGGGTCACTAGCTTCAGCAATTTAGTTCTATACAGTTTTAATCCAGACTTCTAGGCACATGTTTGATGTGTTTTTCTCGCTGTAGTTTCGTGTGGTACTAGGCAGAAGCCCACATCACTTTTCTAAAGCTCCCATTTTTGCTATTTCTTGCAGCTTGTCGTAGAAATGAGAACGAGGCCAATTATGGTGGTACCCTCGAACCTCAATATAATGAAAATGGATATAACGAAATGTCAGTTATAGCAAAGTAATGAAAAATAGTCTTGCAAAAGATACAGCATTAGGAATAACCTTTATAACGAATTTTTGAATGTAACTAACTTATTTTCTTGTAAGATGAACCTTTGTTATAAAGAGGTTTGAGTGTATAGATTTAGTGATTTTGTATTCAGTTGAACCACTTTATAAGGTAAACTGATCTAAACGACACTTAGGTATGAGAGACGCCGGTGTGCTTGCATAAAATTTGGGGTTGGTCAGAAAATGAGAACATGGTAGCTCGCTAATAAGAGGCACCTCTTATGCAAGGCAAGAACCGTTCACTGATGCTAATCCCATATGAAGGGGTTCTACTGTACTTACTTAAAGTACGGTGTTTATAAAACATCGGTGATGGCTTTGTGCAGAACCAAAGTGTTAAGTAGGCGACGTATTTCATGTCGCGTATATTTTTGCAGGGTATGACATAGATGCTGCGACGAGCGGTGCCCGAGGGTGTGCTGGTTTGTGAGAAGTGAGGACTTGCAATTCGTGCTGGTAGTGGCATCGTCTCAGACTTTCAAGCTCAACACAACTGCTGGTGTACATATGACACAGTCACAATTGTGCCCGAATGAGAACAACGTGGTCGTTCCCCATATCTTCTATGACAGCCCGCCTTGGCTCCCATAGTGAAAGGGAAAAAATACTGCGAAAAACTCTTCCCGCACTTTCGGGACGCGTAACGACTGTGGGAAATGGTAGACGGTGAGAATTCGTATGACTGCTTCTTTTTTTAACACATAGTACTGGAGGTTCTCTTGAATTTCCTGCGCATTTTGCATTAGTTGCAGACAACTGCACTTTGTTATTTGTTTCTGCAGTGTGTGTTAGTGGCGATCGTAACCTGCCGTTCGCTTTGCGCTTCGTGGAAAGACCTTATTGTAAACGAATTGACAGAATTCCTTGTAATTTTTAGGAATTCTAAGCTAAGGTACATGGACACTGTGCTGAGCATGGCAAGGTTATTCTGTGCCAATGCGGGAATACCAGCGAAATGTCTGGAACTAATTCACTCTGTTCCAAGTGAATCAAATGGACTTACTGTGTGCACAGTGCTTGAAAGGGAACGCAATATATTTGTGTTCATTGCTCATGACTTTTTAGCCACACCAATGAAATTAGGAAAGTCCTGCAAGGGCACTATATGACAACTCTGTGTCTTTTAACCGAAAGCAAATTTTCAGTTTGCCTGATTGCAGGAATTGTTTAAAGCGTGTTTCGCTTTCTTCTTTGATGCCCTTGGGCAGAAAGCGTGAAGGCCAGCTGCTTATTGCGCGTATCTAGGTCGCCGACAACAGCTGACAAGCCTCTACGTTTTTGCGAAAGGCTTTTTTTTTTTTTTTCATTGTCTGTCACATAGAAGGTGCAGGGAATGCGAGTGTGCGATGGCGTTTCACAATCATCGGTCGTGCCATTCAGCTTTTGATGCTGCATCGTTGGTTCTATGGTACAACTGCCTTTCACCTTCTAAATGAACCTGTAAAATTGTCACTTCGTTTAAAACTGTTTAACACGTGTAGACTAGAGGGTCATATCGGTGGGTTGAAATCGGCTAGCACATACCTACGCGCTTCTCTGATGCTAGTAAACATTTGAACAGTAAGCTCAGATTTCACTCTAGTTATCGGAAGCTTTCGCAGCTTTTACTGCGTTTATTGAGTATATTCCTGAGCCCCTTTAACGGTGTTCACGCAATGTGACTAAAAAAAATATCAGGCACTTGTTCTCTCATAATTACTGGGAATGCCATGATATAAACATTAGATACATCTTTCTTGGTGCTTAAGCTTACTCTGCTTGAATACTAGTGGCTATGCTGTTGTTACAGTGGCACGTAGTTTCCATGAAAGCATGAAAAGCATAAGCTTTTTTTTTAATATAAAACAAAGACAAAAAAAAGTGGCCTGCTCATTTAGACTGATATAATGATGTCCCCTAGTGTCACATTGTTTTGATACCTTCGACAACCACATATCAATAGGATTTCTTAAAGATGTATGGATCTGGTGAGTGTTTTTAGATAACAAGTAACAAATTGAGTATGTGTTTACCTGACTGTCACTAAAACGTCGCAGTATCAGTGGAATAAATTGCCAATTTGCACAGCCCGTCATTCCTGCGTAACTTTTGAATTTGTATGAAGCCGATTGCTGGTTGGTGTGCTGGTGTTTCACTGTTACTGTAGTGAAGGCCCCGCCACGGTGTTCTAGTGGCTAAGGTACCCGGCTGCTGACCCGCAGGTCGCGGGGTCAAATCCCGGCTGCGGCGGCTGTATTTCCGATGGAGGCGGAAATAGTGGAGATTCGTGTGCTCAGATCTGGGTGCACGTTAAAGATCCCCAGGTGGTCAAAATTTCCGGAGCCCTCCACTATGGCGTCTCTCTTCATCATATGATGGTTTTGAAACGTTAAATCCCACATATCAAATCAAATCAATCAACTGTAGTGAAGTTTGATCACAACCGGTCTGAGATGCTTGAGCATAGATTGGCAAAGAGATTGGAGCTCGCTCAGACTAACTCAAGAAATATATTTGGAAATGCAAACAATGCACAACAAAAAAGGCTTCTTTTAAACACATACTGTGGGAATGTCCCAAATTATTAACAAGTTCTCGTGCGGGCCTCTTGGGGTGGTGGTGGCTAGTGCTGCTTGACTCGGTCCGAGGCCAGAAATGGGCCATCCAGCAGGCCAGGGAGGTTATACGGGGGCAAGGTCTCCTGTCATTTACCTGTGCGGTCTAGCTCGGACCACATACATGCTGGATCTTGCAATGAAGTTTATTCACTCACTCTCTGAACTCGCTCAGATACGCCAAATTTTCCTCAACTGGACTCGCTCAAACTCTCCGATACGCCACTCAGCCGAACTTGCTCAGGCTGAGTCTTATGCCTTCACCTGAGTGAATCTGCTCAAGCGTTCTTTATTACAAAATTAGCTTTTTCAATCTGGGTGTTGGTGCTCTTCAATGCCATTACATTATGTAATCAATGCTTTAGGATATGCCTCTATATCTCGTATTCAAAAACGATTTAGTCGATGCTTTTCAACGTTTTGATATTTTGTACCTTCGAATGCAAGTTTTCAGTGCTCTTAATCCAGCAAAGACATTTTTGTGTAATACGCTACTTGCACGAGATATATTTCTCAAGAACTTTCGCTGAAAGAGTTTGCAGGGAAAAGTCGTGGCATCCCCTCATCCTTCTAACTTGCGCCTCTGATCAACAAATATGAAGTAGCGCATTGTCGAGATAGCTGTTAAAACACTTGCGAACAAACTTGAGCAGATATAACCCTGATTGTAATGCTGAAGATGAGTTGATAGAACCATAGGTGGCGATGTACGATGGAGCTCACTAAGACCCACTCACTTAATATATTTTGCGCTTGGGGCTTACAGTAGACTCCCATTAAACAAAACTCTCTTAAAACGAAATTTGCTTATATGAAATACTTGCCTTTAATATGATTGGTTTCGTATTTGAATATTGTGCCCCTGTTTATCTCTCAGTAAATGAACCTCCTCTTAGGTGAAACCCATTTTCCTGGTCCGTTCAAGTTTCGTTTAAAAGCAGTCTACTGTATTCGAACTCAGACTCGCCTCATCCGGTATTTCTCTGACTTAGGCTCGTGAAAATTTTCCTGAAAGGGATGCTGAAGACAATAACATTTTTTTTTTTTGTATTAGTAAACTACCATTCCAGAATCACGAAAATTCCACTTTTAGCACAAGACGGACTAGTGCTCCACGAACGCTTGGTAAGCAAGCAATTGCGCCAAAAGGAAATACAGGTGGAGAACCACTTTGAGATTCCCGCACCAAAAACCATGACGTAGATGATTTTGATGGCGGCCACCGAGTTCTATGTAGCTCCTAATCCTTAAAAATGAAGTACTTTCGTCGTAAAATGAAGCCTGATCAGTGGCAAGCCTTCAAGGTGGTGTAGTGGGTGCCATACAGTTAGTATCACAATTCACAGGCGCGCACATTCTGTTCGGCCAGCTGTGCGCATATATGCGTGCCTGTCCATGGTGATAACTGGACGGCACACGCTATGCCATCGCGAAGGCTTGCCGCTGTTCAGGTTTCATTTGACACCAGTAGTACATTGTCATCTGTGGGTGCCCTAGACCTACCGTACGAAAAAGTTTCAGAAAATTCCATCTACACTCTAAAAAGATATCGAGTAAAAAGGGTGCCTTTTGTCCCACAACAATAATCGTCATCAGGCTTGCGTGCGCTTCCTTTCTTGAAAACTCAGCGCTGGCCACTTTCCTATCGAGAATGCAATGTAACCCTGATAACGGGCATGTCGATCGTGACCGGAATGTACCAGGCGCGTGGCGATAGCGCAAGGATGGAACTCAATATAGATGAGGATTGTTGTGGGACAGAAAGACACCCTTTTTACTCGCTCTTTTTTTAGAGTGTAGCCAATGTCGCGATTGCATATTCCTTAGTGCTCATCGCATTGACATTTATCAATAGCCAGTTTGTTGATGACTGTGTAGTTGAGTGTCTAAATCAAACATGCGTTGCGGGGTGTCATCAAGTGACGTTATTAATGCACTGGCAAAACTGCTATGAAGACAGTGAAAACCACCCTATGTTAAAGAAAGTAAATATACGTATATGTGCTTTACTTTTGTGCATAATTTTGCCGTACAGTATACTAATTGATATTCTTTTATCTTCTCTTCACAATTAAGCGACATTTTATTGAATCAGGAAATAAAAAGGAACATTATTAAATTCTTACTTACTTAGTGATTTTCAAAAGCCATGACACTTTTTATTGTACTTCTTGTGGGATAATTATTTTCTTCTTAGCTTGGAAGCATCTGGAAACTCTGAGTTAGAAACAAGACTCGTGCTTCATCTATACTTGGTAATCTTGAACTTTGACAATTAGTATGTATGCACAAAATGAAAAAGTATTCGGTGATACTGCACTTAGTGTCTCGGAGCAAATGCATGGTTCTCTCGTTCCAGTGCTAATTTCGTTCATACATTTTGCAGAATAAGAAAACAAAAGTATATTGACGATAACGTGGGATTTGATCCCAAGATGGCAGTGAAGCATTCTACTCTAGAGCCACCATTGTGATTGAAATGTTAGGTTGAGCGAGTAATCGTGTTAACATGTGGTGTCATCGGTTGGCAGATTCGGATTGGCCAATGAACTCTGCGCTAGAGCACTCCACTCTGGCGGAGGGCAACAGAATGTAATCTGCCAATGGAACACATGCGCTCCTTCTGGAGCAAATGGCAGGGTCGGGATGGAACGCGATGTGTGCGTCTCTTTTGCATAAGTGGCCACGCTGGGCATAGCGACGCTACGTTAACAAAACTTGCGCTTCGACATTGTAACATATGTATCAAAGCAAACGGGCAACAATGTACATGCCACGACTATATAAAAGCACGCCGCTGATAATAAACGTCACTGGTTGCCGAGACGCTGACACACATGTGCAATCAATCTGATACAAGGTGTCAAAAGTGGGCCGGTTGCGTCGACGCCCTTTTCGAAAGCAATGGCTGAGCTTCCGCCCCCGTAACCACTGTGGCTTGATGAGAATGTTCCTGACAACTGGTTGAAGTTCAAGAAGCGTATACAGCTTTACTTTGCCGCCACCGAGCAACAGAAACCACGCACCAAGGCACAGAAAGCGGCTATCTTCCTTCATCTTGCCGGACAAGAGGCCATCGATGTGTTGAACACTTTGAGCATCAGTGAAGAAGACAAAGCTGACTACGACAAACTGGTGGAAGCCTTCGAAGCCTACTGTCTTCCACAAACCAACGAGACATGAGAAGTACGTCTTTCGTAGCAGAGCGCAAGTGGATGGCGAGCAATCTGAGCAATTCTACAGAGACTTGCAGTTGAAAGTTAGGAGCTTTAATTTTGGCATAATGCGTGCATCCATGCTACGAGACCAGACAGTTTTTGGTACTACAAGCTAGTGTCTGCGGGAAAAGCTGTTAGCCAAGAAATACTTGACCCTTGAGATGGCCATAGAGGGAGCAAAAGCAGAAGAAGTTGCACTTGCACGCAGAAAAATACGTGACAAGAAATGAAGTGTTGCTGCCGTAAAACACAAGGACAAATCCCAGTATAGGTATCAAAGTAAAAGCAGATGCGGCTTTTGTGATAGAGTGCACAAGGCTAGGCAA